ATCCGATCTAAATTGGGGACTACATATTTCAAATATCTGTAAGAAGGCAAATAAAACTTTAGGATTCCTACAACGCAATCTCCATATATCATCCAGATCAATAAAGGCGAGAGCATACATATCTCTGGTAAGACCGCAGCTGGAATATGCTTCGACAGTTTGGGACCCATACCAACAAGGTCACATAGATATGTTGGAAAAGGTGCAAAGAAGAGCGGCACGATACGTCATGGGAAATTATAGAAATAGATCTAGCGTAGGAGAAATGATTAAACATCTGGAATGGAAAAATTTAAAAAGTAGAAGGAAAGATGCAAACTTGAGTATGATGTATAAGATAATAAACAACAAAGTAGCCATCAGACCAGAGGACCACTTCACTAAGCCTGTAAGAAGATCGCGGCACACAAAACAACACTCTCTTGCAATACCATCTGCAACCAAGGACTGTAGAAAGTGGTCATTCTTCTGTAAAACCGTAAAAGAATGGAATAGCCTGCCAGAGGACATCGCGGCAGCAGAATCACTCGAGATCTTCAAATCTCGAGTGACTAAGATAGACTAACTTAAAAAATCCTTCTTTTATCCAGTTTTTAAAAAAACAAACAAACAAACAAACCAAAAAAAAAAGTTTCTTTTAATCATGCAAACATGCGCACACCTAACTGGCAAAATCTTCAACTTGATGAAGGCGGCCAGATAGAGGAAGAAGAAGAAGAAGAAGAAGAAGAAGAACTTTACGATAATCGTTGCTAATAAGGCTTTCGGAAAGTTGTAAAACAATATCATTGCGTCCTTAGAAGTAGAATGTTTTGTTATTATTGTATTTATTGAAATTTTGTTAAGAATGGATCATGGTTATGCAAGACCATCAGTTCCTGTTCATGCTAACAGTATTACAGTATCCGCATCGTTATTCTTTACAGGATACACGATACGATAGGATACACGCACGATAGGACGGGATACACGCACGATAGGATAAACGCAAAACACGATAAACGCAAAACACGATAAACGCAAAATACGATAAACGCAAAATACGATAGACCTGATAAACGATCTTCACGATAGGATAAACGCAAAACCTGATAGGATTGTTTCAAAATGCGGAGCGTTTTTTGACAAGACGAAAAGTTTCCTTTTTGATATATCGTAGTATGATAATTCTAATTACTTGCAAAGCCGCAAATCTAAATGATGAAATATATTAAATTTACCATGATAAAAAAATTGAAGTAATGATGCTTTGTAAAAGATTTTTTTTTTCGTCAATAAAATTGATCGTCCTCAATTTCAAACTGTAATTATTTAAGATTAATTCCACTCTATGATGGAAATTATGCGATTGTTTGTGTAATTATAAAAATGTCGAGATTCCATCGAATCGTTAAATTTGAATTTTGAGTCGTTGAATTACGTAGATTTTAATTTGTTGGAGGCTCAAAAATTCGGTAGACAAGCAAAGTTTTACACCCATGTGCAATAAATTCGCGAAAGGTTATAAATATATTCATTATTTTAACAAATAAAACCTTATGAAATTCATAACAAACATCGATTATTTTTACGGAAGGACTCCATGTAAAAAATGAAATACTTGGATTCAATATCTTGTGCTAGAAGTCTGCGATGTATCCAAAATCGCCATTACATGTAATAATCTGTATTTAATAAATCTTACGAAAAAAATTATTAGTCATAATTAAGGGGGGGGGGGGTGAAAAATTATCATTATAATTATTTTAAGGTTAACGCTTTTCCTCATTTTTTTACGAATTTGCTTTAATTTATATTTTATATAAATTAATTTTATATTTATTACGTTTTAAACAAATGACTTGCTGAAATTGCTAGTTGCATTGACACAGACTGTGCATTGGACTGTGATTAAATTATCTCTCCTATATATAAATATATCTGTTACACATATCCCGTGTACATAGAAATTATTTACATATTCCAAGTACATACATTGTATATGTACATATGAGGAAGGAGGCCGACCGAAAGAAATTGAATTCAATAAAATTAATAAACGTCACTAGATTTGTCATCATCTACATGTACATGTAGTATCCGAAAAAAAATATCGCATTTCTATTCTTTTGTATTTATTCTCTGGTATTTCTAATGCTATAGACCTGTAAGATTAAGAAGGGAGCATGCAGACGTATACCTAAAAATGTTACAGTGTACCAACATGTGCAGTATACAATAGAAATATAATGCTTATATAATTATGCCCATCAACAACAATAGTGTCTTTAACATTTTTTGTTTGCTTTTCAACACATTTCTTTTTATACCCCCCCCCCCCCCAAAGAAATGAAATTATTTTCTAAGCCTGCCTGTGTTATAAACATTTACAATAACGTGATATGACCTTTATTATCATAACTGACAAAACAGTGAAGAGAAGATATGTACAATATACACTGTATTAAACAGAAAATATTACATACATGAAGAAAGGATAACAGAGTGTAATATCAACCAAGAATTTGTATCTACTATAGACACATGTATGCTACATTGTAAGCTTACAATGTGTGTGAATATATTTATTGGGTACTTAAACTTTGTATCAAATAAATAACATTGAATGATTACATACTCTTGTTTACAGCATATTAGAACGCACACACAAATAAATTATAAATTTAATTAATTTTCACAATACGACAATTGGATTTTCGAACTGAATAATTGTAAATTATAGCTATTAGACTTTGTATTATTTGTTACAAAACTTATATGGGACAACTTCGGCAAAATTAGACAAAACTTTGTAAATTATGAAAATATTAATCCCACTTGAGGCACAGTCAGCAGGGAAAGGGGGAGGGGGTCCATAACCACTCAAAAAAGATCCAATTCAAACAGCAATAATAATAAATAAATGAATAAATAAATAAAAATATATATTGACTTCTTGAATATAGTCAAGTATTTAATGCAATCGATAAACTAATAAAATTAAATTCAAGGTATTTACTCGTCTTGTGCATCACGGCAGATCCGGGCTATTTCTTTAATTTTTTTTTTTTAAATGTATCTTTGAGGCGTCTTTAATTAAAAAAAAAAATCGTGCGAGGCAAAGATCGTATTTTTCTGGCAAGAATTATTTACCATATTCTTCGATGAATAGAATTTTCGAACAATTGTAACAGTTTCCTTTTGTATTACACAGAAAACCCGAAGATCCGGAAGTACCGCAAGCGCAGTTTTTTTTTTTATTTGATCACACCAATCATGTTCAAGACCGTAAACCTATAAAAATTATATAATAGTATACAAATGAACTAAATCAACGGAGTTTGGGATACACACATCGCCTCTATTTTATTTGATTCATTTATTCAATTATTAATCGTAACGGAATTTTGTACATTTACCAATTTTCTTAGTATAAAATCTTTAAATGTTAATTGTTGTTCATACAAATAATAAACAATATCCAGAAAATAAGTAGATGCATTTCGTTGAAACCTAGGATAGGATTCAAGGTAAATACTTGACAGGTGAGAGAGGAGTTCAGGTATGTCGACGGTGAATACACACGGGCCGGTCATGTAGGGGGAAAAGGAGGGGGATTCTTGACCTGACAAGAAGACAGTTTACTGATTAGGCATGACTGGTACATATATGTGTCAGTTCTCTTGTCACGGGAGTGCTTCCACTGGTCATTTAGTTACAGTATATACCCATTTCATTTCCATGCCGAAATAGTAATAAAAATTAGTATGATTTTGTTTATTTATTTATTGTTATTTTTTTAACATCTTCTAACTGCAGTAGTTAAATATGAATTGCAAACATCTATATTATAATATATAATTATCAAATGATGAATCGAATGGAGCATGTTCATGTAAAATAAATTGTAATTTAACTTGTAGACATATCACAGAAATAAATAAATAAAAAGGAATAACAAAACTTGGGCGCATTGACAAAATTTATGTTTCCGTAATAGACCTAATAAAGCTGCTGATATTTTTTTTTATTTAAAATTTATTTTTGCACACATACATGATGTACCTACTGTTTTATGCTTCTATAATTATCAAAACAAAGTTAATAAAGGTCTTGCTTTTGTGACTATATCTATGTAAAGGAATTAAAATATTTCTTTGACAAAAATATTTCTTACAAATCGAAAAATTAAAAAAATAATAACGAATGACTAGTAGATCGATTATTTCATGTCCCAAAATAGAATATGACTTTCAATTTACCCTCTCTGCTTGGTCACGGTACTTGACCTTTATTTATTTTTTTAATTAATTAATTTATTTATTTATTTATTTACTTATTTATTTATTTTTATTTAACATATATACCAGAGTTAGAGTATTAATTTCTCTTTCTGTTAAACAGTTAAATTAATCCTAAAAAAATTAACAAAACGAAAAATGAACTCGAGATATCTCGGGTTTTTCTTCTCAAGGTAAAGATAAAAAACGAGGGTTTCCGAATGCACACGATAAACGCAAAACACGATACACGATAGAACCTGATAAACGATCTTCACGATAAACGCAAAACCTGATAAACGGAAAACACGATAGAAAACGCAAAACGTGATAAACGGAAAACACGATACGATAGGATACACGCACGATACGATAGGATACACGCACGATACGATAGGATACACGCACGATAGGACACGATAGAATTGTAAAGAATAACGATGCGGGTACTGTATGAGTATCAGCGTTGACGAGGGTTGGTCAGAATATGACGAGGAGGACGAGGAAGAAATAGATATGTACGATAGATATTACAGTGGCGATGATCTGTCTGTAGACGAAGTTAATGAGGAAGACACATCCAGATATTACAAAGAATCTGCTTGATTGGAATGAGGTATTTCTTTATTTGCTCATATGATATGTAGCATTGTAAGTTAATTAAAAATGTGAAGTGTTTGATAATATTATAAAGCTTTCCTAAATAATGCCTATCTTTTCTTTATTTTTTAGGCTTTCTGCAAGCCACAAGTTTTTTGTCTTTTGTATTAACACTGGTAATAAAATGGGCATGAAACGTGTGGAATGCAAGAATGTTCTTTAGTTTTCATCACCTTCCGTTTCTATTTTGATTAATTATTATATAATGTTATTTACATGTTGTTATTTATTTGAGTATTAATATTAGTTCCAATCAAATACATGTATCATTCAAAGGGTCGTCGAGTGGTAGAATTGGGTGTGCTAGCAGCACATCTACAGAAAGGATGCAAGAAATGTGGGGCTGTATTACATCTTTGGGATTGTATTCAAGAGAGGCATTATGGCCTTGGAAGTATCTTGTACATAAAGGTAAATGTCAAATTCATCTTCATCAAAATAAAAATTAATGCTAATAATAACAATACTTCAGTTTGTTAGTGTTCATCATGTTTCATATGAAATATTTCATTAATTTTGTAGTGTACCATTTGCAGTTACATTTCAAACATTCCCATAGGAAAACGACATGAAAAAAACATTTGGGATATGAACACAAAGCTTGGTGCAGGTAATTTCAGAAAACTTTGCAATATGAACATTTTAGGCAACATATTTGATAGTGAATAATACATGTATTTTATTTTCACCATTCATGTCTTGTAGGTATTGCCAACAGTGGAATAGGGTTTTCTGTTTTACAAATGTTATTTGCTTCATTGAATATCCCTGGTGTAGCAGCTGGAACAGTAAAGAAAAGAGACAGAGAAGCAGGAAAGGCCATCGAATCTGTTGCCCAAAAAAGTTGCAATGATGCTCTTGATGAAGAATTAAAAATGAATGATGGGTAATTTAAAAAAAATAGTTTTATGAAAAATATATACCAAACTTCACAATCTCAATCCATATTTTCTTTCAAATTCTTCTGTGAATGTGTAATTCTTTTTATCATATATTTTTAGAAAAGTTGAAATAAGAGTTGCAGCTGATGCTGGATGGCAAACTAGATCTAGTGGGAGAAAATATAACAGCTATTCAGGTATGCATTGAAGAAGAAACATATTTTTTTTTTTAAATTTCTTTTCGTGAAAGAAAACTTATTTACAACATGTACAAAGTGACTTATGAATATATTTCTATTTATTTTTATAAACCACAGGTCACAGTGTACTAATAGGTGATAAATCTGGGAAGATATTGCGATATGATTATAGATGCAGAAAATGCAGACTATGTGAAAATGCAAAAAGAAAAGGCATTCAGCCCATTGACCATGATTGCAGGTAAAATGTTGATAATTATCAAATGTATAATGTGTAAAAAAAGAAATACATAGTTAAAAAAATCAGTGTCAGTAAATGGTGAAGGTTATTGCAAATCAATGTAATATTTATCTTTTTATACCCCTGCTCCGAAGGAGAGGGGGGTATGCTGTTTTACCCTTGTGTGTCAAGCTCTGTGTGTGTGTCTGTCTGTCGATAACAATTTTCCTTGCAGTTTTTTCAGCAAGTACTCATTGCAGATGCTTGAAATTTTAGCACATTCTTTGTTTAGCCTTGCCATATTGTGGGATTCATTTTTGTACGAATCTGATGTCAATTTCCTGTTTATCTGTACGTCTGTCTGTACCATACATAACAAATTTTTGTCGCAGTTTTCTCAGTAACTTCTCTTTGCAAATGCATGAAAGTTTACACACTCTTTGTTTAGGCATGCAATATGGTATGATTCATTTCTGTTTGGATCTGATGTCAACTTCTTGTTTATCTGTATGTCTGTCTGTAACTCAAGTTGTGTATATTCACATCAAAGCAGGGGTATTACTAGTGAGCATTGGCTCACAGAATTCGTGTTTCTGCATGCTTATTTTTATATTTTACTTTACAGAAAGAATTGGGATGGCTCAGCCAAAGCTATGGAGCCAGACATGATTGTGGGCATGTTGAAAGACTTGGAAAAAGAGAATATTCATCCTCATGAATTAGTAATGGATGATGATAGTACCGCCATTTCACGGGCAAGGAAAAAATGTGATCAAACTATTACAAAATTCAGTGACAGAAACCACCTAAAGAAAACATTTTCAAATAAACTATATGATTTGCAAAGAGTAAAAAAGTATCAACAACTGAGAGGAAAAACCATAACACATCTAAAGAAATGTTTTTCTTATGTGCTTGCCCAGCACCAGAAAAAGCCTGAAGAGTTGAAAAAATCTTTATTGTGTATTATTCCTCATATGTATGGAGACCATCTGGCATGCCCTTCATGGTGTAAATATAAGCGGAATCCTGCAAATTACATTCCACGGAATCTTCCATACAGCAGGTATCTAACATGCCTAGAGTTGAAAAAGGATTTGGAAGCAATTATTCAGACATATGCTCAACAAGCTGAAAAACTATCTGATCTGGGATCCACACAAGCGTGCGAAAGTTTTAATCACATTGTTGCCTCAAAACATCCAAAGAACCTCTACCTGTCAGGATCAGAAAGTACAAGTTTCAGAATTGCTGCAGCTGTTGCACAGAAAAACATTGGAAAGTCTTATATACAAGAACTAGGTATATATGTATAATGCAAAAAATTATGTAATATAAAGTAATCATATCTTCTCATTTTATGTAAATGAAATAATATGAGTAATATTTTTGTTTACATGTATATTTACAGGTCAATGACCAATTGAATATGTCACCTGGAACCTATACTGAAATGGCGGTTGAAAAGATGGACAGAAAGAGAAAGTTACAGAAGATTAGACAGAGTAGTGCAGAGTACAAGAAAAGGAGATGTGAAATTAGGAAATCCTCAAGTCAAGATCAGGGTAGTAAAGAAGTGCGTGAAGGAAAAACGTATGAAGCATCAGTTGGACTAGAGGAAATGGATGAGGATCAGGACATCAATTCCATTCCAAGTGCCTCTGTTGAACCAGAGAGAATACCAGTAACAAATACCGATTGCACACTTGTTTACTTTGACCTAGAAGCAACAGGTTTAGGTAAATTTTTACACAATGTAGAAAAGTTATACATATATTTCCATGAGACATTATATATATATATATATATATATATATATATATATATATATATATATATATATATATATATATATATATATATATATATATATATATATTTCAAGATACATTGTTTTAGATATGTTTTATAGGTTCATAATCAGAAATATTGGAAATAGGAGCTGCAAGAGGACATGACATCTTTCAGAAGTACATAAAACCCAATGGTACAATATCTGCAAAGGCAACTTGTGTGACTGGTCTACATATGATTGACACTGAACTATACTACAGAGATCAAGAACTTACAACAACAGACTTGAAATCAGCACTCCAAAAGTTTTCAGAGTGGCTATCGGACACAAATTCTAATATTCTTGTAAGCCACAATGGATTCCGGTTTGACTTTCCATTATTTATGCAAAGCATTACATCACAAAATATTGTTATGAATACATGTATTGCCGGTTTTATAGACACTTTGGAGGTTTTTAAAAATTCTAATGTAAAGACACAAACTGGCAGCTTTTCTCGGGAGTCTCTTTTGAGAGAAGCAGGTATCCAATCGACAGGAGTTTCTCATTGTGCCCTAACGGATGCTATGGACCTACAAAATTTAGTGATTTTTCATAACTCTGTTGAGGCAAAGTGCAGTTTACAATTATGTTTTACAGCATCAAACATTTTCTCTAGTAAAGAATGACAATTTGAAATCTCTTGAAGTCTTAGTTCAGGGAAAACTTATTAGAATTCATGGCAAATAAAATTGCAAAATCAGGTTTAAATATGAAATATATTAAATTAGCACACTCAAGAAATGGTGAAGATGGAGTAAAAAACTTGTTTCAAGAAATTGTAAATGGAAAAGCAAGAGTTACAAAATGTAAGAAAATAATCAATTCAGTGTCCAATTATTTATCTAGTCAGTTGTAAAGAGTTACCTCCCTTTGTTTTTCATAATTGTAAATATATTATTTCATTTTTTATCTCTCTTATATACCTGGCTCCACCATGTAAGATATGAATTTTTGTACACCATATGGCCAAACCTTTGTTTTTATTTTTAGAAAATTTCAGAAATTTCATATTTAAAAAAGATATGTGTGATTATCATTTCATTTTTCATAATCTGTTGTATGAAATGTCAAATATTTCTGAATTTGTCATTGACATTCTGTGTATTTATTATTTTTTTTATATGTTGATTGATGTAACCCTGGTCTAAGACTTTAAGAGATTTCAAAGTAATTTAAATATCTAATAAATAATTTTTTTTTCACTTTCATACATATTTCCTTATTTTTGTAATTTTTTCTTAAAAAAAGGTGGCATCCTTGTATGAAAATATTTTTAAAAAATTATTAGTGCACTAAGTTATAGTATATATTTCTTTAAAGTCTTAAATTTTCCTCATTGTTGGTGTTTAGAGCTTCCTTAATAAGCATCATCTTTTTAATTTTTTGATGAATTGTTAATGTTTTTGTTAGCAATGGTATGTCCAGGCCGCGAAACCTCGAAGATGACATATATTCTACCTGAGTGTAACTGAGAAAAACTCTTTTTATATGAGCATTTGTCATCCTAAAAATCCCGTTAATTCACTCAAGTGATATGACACAACTGTTCCGTAAAAGTTGCAATTTTTACCTCAATCTGTAAGTTCTTTGATTTTGTTTTGGTTAAATTTTATATGGAATGTCCAAACTATTAAGGGGTTAAAAAAGACGTCAAAAGGGTGTCTTTTTCCTACAGTACGGGCAACGCGGTTTTGTCATTTAACCGCGCCCCCTCCGCGGTGTATTAATCCTTTCCGCGATACACCATCGCGGTTTTTCATCGCGGTGCAGGTAACAGACCATCTTTACCGCGGCGGTGTGAACTACCGTTCTTCGTCAGCTCTGATATTTTACCTGTACGCACATGTATTTGCAATCACCGATCTTTTTAGGGGGGGGGGGGGGTCTCTAGGAATGTTTTTTAACGTCAGGAAAATTATTTTGTTTCGGTAAGAAGAATTGTTTTTCTTTGATTGGAGAATAATGCCTTTTATGTGACTAAACAAATTTGTATTTGTATTATCAATTAATAATATATACAGTGTAGATTTTTTTTTAAATAAGAGAGTACATGTATACAATTATTTATATTTTTTAAAGTATAGTTTCGTTACGAGTTTAATGGATACTAGATTTAATTTTTGTATAATAAGAATCATCATCAGCATTTTGAATTAAATTTAACAACTTGAAAGCTACATTGCAGATTTCCCTTATATGTTAAAACGTTCATCGTTTAATTGCCGAGTATGTAAGTTTGCCGTAAATATGTAGAGTAAGATATCTTAATCAACATTTTCATTCATTTCTTCTACTTTTTCTTAAAATTCTTTCATTAACAAGGGTTGTGATTTAACAAGCATTGCTCACGGAATCCACGTGCACTGTTCTGTCGCGCATGGATCGAGTCATCCAATCATTAATTTTAGGGTGTTATTGGTGGATCAATTAATAAACTAGAGGGATTCCGGGGGGTTGTACCGCCTATCCCCATTCTTCGGGACATCTGTTTAGTTTTTCGAATGTTTAAAAATTTATGCGAATATTGTTATTTATCAAGTAAGAATAATTTAACAATACATAGTATTGAACTAAATAAATACACTTGTTCATTTTTTAAAAATCAATTTCTAATTTTCAATCCACTGATAGGACCTCCTCTTTCTGAAATACATGTAGCTGGATCTATCTAATATGCAATGGAATCAATTATTTGTAATGTGTTCAGGTAAAAAGATAATCATTGCGTAACACTTCCTGTCTGCTTTAACTTCTGCTAGCATGTATGAGTTTTAAAATACACAGACTAGACCAAGTGCCAAACATTGTCCGTTGAATGGCTTTGGTCAATGTACTTCCTCGTAAATATTCTCATTAAATTATAAATTTCAGTGATTGTTATATTTATTTTTCAATAAAATATCCTGCTAGTTGTATTTATTTTACAATAAAATATCATGCTATCATTCAGTATCACAACCTTTGATATAGACTAAAAGTGCAATCTTTTATAATTATTTTATTAATAAATGAAATGATACATTCCAAAGAATAAAGCAAACAAATCACATTTATACATGTATTAATATTCTTTGGGATAGTGTTTTTACATGTATTAACTACATTTTTTCTTCATCAAATAACGAATTATATTACTCTGTTACTGTCTTTTCCAATCGTTCTTTCGAACGTATAAATCCCTGAGTTTACAACATGTGGGTCACAACAATGAATTAGAGATAAAAAAAAAAATTAGTCATTAAAGGTGAAGACGTCATCGGAGCAACCAAGGTCACTTTCTGGCACAGAGGGCATCACAAGATTGACACTATCCTTCTTTAGTCTTTTGTCATTTCGCCTCAGTGACTCGTTTATTTTGGAGACGATCCTCTCCCTCCAGGAATCCTCGGGTTTGAATTCTGGGAAGAAGTAACACACATAGCGCCTCACCACTTGCTTTCTCGCTGGATCCAGTTCTTTTTCGGAGAGTTTTCCACCACCGTACCAGTTGTACTCCATTCGCAGGTTGCCCTCACCGTACAGTTCGGGGAAGATCTTCCTTGTGAGATTAACTGCGAAATTTCCTGCGTTCCTTGATTCCTTAATCATGTCTCTGAGGACGGTATCTGGAAGTTGATATTCTTCGGGAACACCTTGGTACACATCTCCAGGACTACTGTCACTCATCGTATCAGCAATAGGATCACTGGTTTGCAGGAACTCCACTCCACTTGCAGCTGGGATTTTCCTGACCACATCGATAAGAATGTTTGTATTAGCAAGCACTGTCTTTAATTGTAAATCTGACGCTGTTCCCCTCCTATTCGACGCATCAAGTTTTTTGTTGATAACATCCAGAGTCTGTCGCATTTCCTTGACTTCTCTCATTAGCGCCTTCACCAAATCGTCGTCATTTGTCGAAGTCCGGTAAGGGCGAAAACGCACAACTGGGGTTGTTGACGCTGGCGTTGGGATTGGAGTGAGTGACTCTAACTGGGCTGGCTCTGAATTCTGTGTTTCAGGTGCAGGTCTTTGTCGGACAGGTGTCTTGGGGATAGATGTAGCTGAATCTTCGGCTGGCGGCGAGCCATCTGCGATGAGCGAAGCCTTCGGCTTTCCAGATCTTATCTGAAATGAAAAGAAAAATTTTAAAACAATGAAAAAAAAAATTAATACAGTTTCTATATTAATGTTTGCTTTTCTGTATTTATATTGACCATGCAGTGCTTAACTATTTATTTCGAGACTTGTTATAGGAAATTCTTGTTTTCTGTTACCCCCCCCCCCCCCTCTCGCGCGCTCGAAGACTTTTTTTCATTTTAACAAAAAGCTGTCTGAACTCCGAGTGAAATATACAGTAAACAGGTAAACTTTGAAAGTTAATCTCTTTCCGCTTGAACGCACACAATACAAAGGTTTTAAACATAGTGTTTAAACACAGTTAAGACGGTAGAAATTAAGATTCTGATTAGTTAGGACAAACAGATCATTTAAGGACCCTCTATACACTAGAAGAAAATATTTTTTGGACATTGAGAAAATTATGGTGTGTAAAGGTGTAAATATTGAGCTTATCTATGATAACCACATTTTCAACATAGGGTGCCTTGCATTTACCCCCAGGAAAAATGTTCAAAGACAATGAAGTACTGATAAACATAAATCACTGTTGTTTACTTAAGTGGGCAATATATCTGCAAATGAAGTGTTCCATCTATCCATCTTGGCCTATTAAAGTGTTATGAATGCTTGATTTGATCACAAATTATGTAATAAACTTATATTCCAATGTACCTTATTCTTTTTCAAAGGACAGATCACTCTATCTGCATAAAAATACCACAAAATCAGAACTCTTTAGTGTGCAGTGTATAGAGGGCTGTTAATTAAATAATCATTGTAGTACACATTTACGGCATTGTTTTAAAACGGAACTCAATTATATTAGTGTAATTTTTACCTGTGTTTTTTTTAAACGTTTTGAATAACTTGACGACTGGACATATCTTAAAATCTAAAAACACCTAAAAATAATTTAACTTTAATACCATGAAACAGCTTAAACATTGTTTAATTGACCTTAACTCAAAAATCATTTCCTGGATCCGCCACATTGACTGTATATAATTTCAGTTTATTCAAACCAATTAGCCCTGGCTCCCAATAATCTCGGTAATAGCCGTACATGTAGAATGTGTATATTATTTTTCTGTGTAATAACTCAACCATGCGTTACGGCTACAGTACCTTGAGGTTGATTAGCCCTAGATCGTCTCATAATTGATTCAAAATTTTAATTACTGACTGATTCAATTTTTATAAAATTGTGTTTAGGATTTAGTTTATTTTAATAATAATAATCTAAAAGAAACACACACAATTAAGGATTCATAAGACAAAAAAATTAGATATGCGACTATAGTTCGTTTTCTATGTAATTATATACAAAACTGTGCATGTATTTTTAACATTGTGTCAAAATCTTACAAATTTCTGCCACTTTACCTAGCGAACATTATTCAGGTTACCCTTTTTAATAGAATTCTATGAGAAATATTTCTGGTTTTGGAAAAAAATTGTTTGTGTTATTTATTCTTAACATGGATATTTGATCCATGGTACATGTACATGTAAGACAGTTGATAGATACCCGTACACATTACGTAATTTTACGTAACTTTAATCAGTTGGGTGACAGTTGTACAGAAACATTTTAGTTTTAACGTTTACGTGTAAGCAATGGGTCGTATTAATCACAGTGTAAAATTAGATATCATCCGGATGCACAAAGATGGATTTTCAGTGGCGAGGATAATAAGAAAGTTGAAGGATTTGGGACACATTGTATGCAGGAACTCGGTTTCCTACTGGATACACAAATACCAAATTGGATTATTTGGTGATGTATGCGACCCCGAGATACCTGCAGTTTCAACAAGCGTGAGCCAGAGGGACACAGAAATTATTAGAGATCAGCTATTGAAGGACTGTACTCTGTCTAGCCGGGAAATACATAAAAAACTTACAGAAGACGGTGCCAATTTTGGACTAACCACAACAAAGTGGGCCATTGAAGCAAGTGGATTCACGCATTCCACACCACGCTATGGACA